TTATCTGGGCCGGGAAAATCGAGCTCTTCTTCCAGTTATGGCGAAGCCCAGATTTAGCAGGTGTGATGCTAACACCTGAGCCTGTATCAATGCTTCCTGTCTGGAGTGAGACAGGGGCAGCAGGTCGTCCAGGTAAAACAAAACTCTCATCCCTGCTTGTGCAGTGGATGCAGGGCTGTCTCCACACACTTTGAGAACGTACGAGGCGCGAGGGAGTACCCAAAAAAGGCAACCTGTTGTACTGGTACTTCATCCCTTGAAAGGCGAAACGCAGAAATTTTCTGTGTTTTGGGATGATTGGTATGTGAAAATAGGCATCTTTTAAAACGATGGAGACAAACCAGTCGTTTTCCTGGATGTTGTCCAACAGCTGTCTGTTCATCAACATGTGAAAAGATCTGTTCATGATCGCTTTGTTGAAAGCTGACAGATCCAGAATCGGTCTCATCCCTCCGGTCCTTTTGGGGACCAGGAAGTAGCGTGAGTAAAACCCTGTGTTTTCCTCCTCGTTGGGAACTCTTGAGATTACACCTTTTATCAGAAGCTCTTGGACTTCTGCATTTAAGGCTGAGACTTGGTCTGGTGATGACAGGACCGTCTCTATAACTCCTCCGAACGGAGGGGGTCGGGTTGCAAACTGCAGCGTGTAACCCTTGCATAACACTCTGTCCATCCATCTGTCCGGTGAGCATGTTTTTAACCACTCTGCGTGACGTTCGTGGAGTGGACGTGCGTTTAAATGATGTGCCGTGTTTTGAACGGATGTCATCCAAACCTCCGCCTCGACCGCCGTCATGCGTCGCGGAAATGTTTTCCGCGTGACCCAAGGCGAGGCTTTCTCGAAAGGGCTGTTCTGCGCGCGCCCGTGCGCTGTGACTGGATCGCGGACCAACCTTCATGTCCGGGCGGGGCGGTGTGTGCTGAGGCGAGGCGTGTGTCAGCTGATGACGTCGTGAGGCTGCACGTTTAACGTCGCTGTGCGAACGTTGAGAGGTGGAGGGCGTGACGTCATCAACGCCGTGCTGTCGAAGTGAAAGTTGTGAGCCTCGCGGGAGCGCACGTTTCCTCTGGAGGGACGCGCGCCGCTCTCGCTGAGGGCGGGGCCCGTCATTGGATTCATTCAGCTGTCTCACGCTTATGCCGCCGTGAGCTGCTGATCGCTGAGACGCGGTGGATGACGGCCACTCGCGTTCATTCAGGAGAGGCGTGTGTTGTTTTCGCTGAGAGCAGGGACCTCCACCGGACCCGGCCTGCGGTCCCACATTTATCCCGATGTGGGCCGGTGAGCGCCGGGCAGCTGTGCGTGCATCATCGACACAGTGCCGTTTGGATGGAGGCTGCTTGTCTCGCTCGGGAGCGCGTTAACACCGTTGGGAGGTGATCGTGCGGGTCTGATTGACAACAAGTTATTTCGCTTACCGTGGTGTCACGTGAGCGTCTGGGCATGTGAAGGAGCGGCGGTGGATTTAAAAAACCTTTATTTAAGGACACCGGCTCTTATGAGTGGAGGATGTGTGTGTAGCGGCTGTGAGCTCATCCGAGCTTACAGACTGGCTAAAAACAGGCATTTTGATCTTTGAAAAATCATTTATTCAATTCCTGTGTCATTTATACACACATCCTCCGCAGACCGTCATTTCTTAAAACTTCTCCCCCGTGAGCCCTGCGGTTTGTTTGCTCCGAGCGCCGTCTGCAGGCGATCTCTGGGGAAAACGCTGAAGTGCAGGCTGCCGGACTGAGGAGGGGTGGTCTCTGGCGGGCGGGGCTGGTGGTGGAGCTGGGCGAGACGAAGCTGCTGCTGCCGTGGAGCGTCGATGTTTCTGCCTCTGCTTTCGACGATCTCTCCAGCGGGCTGGAGGACGGAATGAGCCGCGCGGCTTGATGAGATGGCGTACAGCTTCCGACGTCTCCTCCGACTGCTTCGAATTCGTCAGCATGGACGTCAAGCTGCTTCCGAACAGCGCGTCCGATGAGATGGGGCCCTCCATCCGGTCTTTGTGCAGCTTTTCCGGCAGCAATGGAGAGTGACGGAGCCAGATGGAACGTTGGATTACCGTCATCCATGCTACAATCCTCGACAGGCAAACCGAGGGAGCGGCGCACATGTTGAGGATGGCGTCTGCCGATTACACAGGGAGCTCTTTGTCTCCTCCGGCAGGTCTGAGGTCTCCAGCCTTTTCGACATGCTAAATGCTAGCAGCGCATGTTGTTGCTAACTGCGGTTGCCTGAAAACACGTCGGTGGGCTCGATTGGAGAGCTTTGGTCGCCGTCTGGTTCCTCCGGAGGGACGGGACGCTGCTCCGACCTGGACAGCTTCGCTCCGGAAGCTTCCGCGAGGCTTGGCTCCAGGGGAGGGAACCGAGGAATAGCGTCAGTTGCCTTACAGAAGGAGTTCTTTGTCTCCAAGGCAGGTCTGCGGCCTTCAGTCCCTTGGACATGCTATATGCTAGCAGCGCACGTTGTTGCTAACTGCGGCTGCCTGGAAAAACACGTCAGTGAAAAATAACCTTTCCGCCGATCATCCGAACTGGCGGGAAAAGGCGAGGGACGTAGAAAAAAGGGGTCCCTTCATGTCAGCCTCCTCCCGGGTTCCGCCGGGCAACCCCTGAGGGCGCTGTCGGCCGGGAGCGGTGTGATCGTCGATGCGAAACGAGGTGGGATGGGGTGAGCATTCACTCAGCCCCCCTCCACCTACACTACGCTCCCCGGGAGGGAATGAGCAGCGGGGGCTGCAGCTGAGCACACCTTGCCCCGGAGGAACCATCCGGTTCGCCCCGAGGGTCGGCGATAAGAGGAAAAACACAAGATGGCGTTGTCCAGCGTGTAATGACCTGTCACTGGGAAATGTTCCCCGACGCTTACCTTGGAATAAGACTGCTGTCATCTTCTCCACGGGGAGGAGAACTCACCGGACGACCGGAGGTCGACTGCCGGGCCAAGCATCTTCCGCAAAGGTTGGTCATTTACACAATTTATCTTCTTTGTTCTTCTGACAGTGCTATATTAGCTCGCTGAAGAAAAAATGGGGAGCCGATTTCCCGCTCTTAACGTAATTTATACGGACCGGGTGGGGCCCACACAGCAGGTGGGCGTGGACTAATTTTTTTCAGTGCTTATGCTGCGCATAACGGGATAAACCATCAGCGACAGCCTTAAAGGGCGAAGCCTATATGAAATAGAACTGATTTTGCCATACCATCCACTACTCTCATTCTCCCACTAAATTATTATAAACTCAGGATCATCAGTCATCATTTAGATATTCAGATTTTTAAATCTAGACCAAGAAACTCCATGAAACTTCAAGAAACTTTATTATAAATTATAATTTATTTCACTCCATCCCATACAGTGAATGAATTTAGCAAAAATAAGAAACAAGGTCAAAAAGACAGGTACATTTTTTAAATATAATCATTACCTGATAAGGAAGGAGTTCATTTGTTTCAGACACAGCTTGAGAACTTGTTCTTTGAAGTCTCCATCAATCTGAGCAGCAACTTGCAGATTCTGCTCAAACATCTGAAGAAGAATCGATAGAGAAAATGTTAGGCCATTTTAAAAACATCGTAACCGAACGTTTGAAAACCCTGCATAAGCATAAACGGGTATGACAATTATACCTGCCCAACAGTGCTGTGCACAGACATTTTAATAAGTGACACTCCATTTTCTATTTACTTTGAACTCAACACGGCTGTTTTCATTACCTGATTAAGTTGAACTGAGAGTTTCTGATAAGGGCAACAACAAATGTTCTGTTTGACAGAACAGATATTGTAAATTGACAAGACTTGCAGTCAAGTCAACTTTTTTTTTATAAAGCACATTTAAAACAGAAGCTGTTACCAAAGTGCTTAACAAAAAAATCAATGAGAGTAATTTAATGGAAAAAATAAAAATAATGATAGTACCAAAAATTTATTAAAAACATCAAAGAATAACATAGAATCACAGAACAAAAAAATACTATCAAATCACACCATGTGCAATTCCAGAGAAAACATTCATTCAACTTTTATTTATACAAAACGAAAAGTCTCCTGTGACGCATGTTCAATCCAAAATAAAAACACCTGGACGATCATGAAACTGGATGGATAAAAATGAAACTTAATGTTCATACTTTGCCATTAAAGATAAATTATCCTGTTTGATAACCTCAAAAAGAGGGAATAGCACTGAAATGTTAATGTTGGTTTAAATGAAGTGAATAATGCCATTCTGTCTTACTTTTTGTGTTATTATTTTCTTAATACTCAGAAGCAGTGTTGTATAAAGTACCTCAAAGTGGTACTTCAGTGAAAGTACAACTTACCATAAAATTACTTTGGTAAAAGTTAGTCTCTTTTAAAATTATTACTTGAGTAAAAGTCTAGAAATGCATGTTTGTTTATCCTGTGGAGCGGGCCCTGTCTGTTTACATTCACACTGTACTCGAACCGCGCTGGAGTTCGCTTCTACCGGACCGAGACCTAGGTTTTAGCCCGGGCCAGAGTTCGCCTTTTTGTTCCGTGACAGAGTTCAATGGTGAACTCTGGCCCGGGCTAAAACCTAAGTCTCGGTCCGGTAGAAGCGAACTCCAGCGCGGATCGAATACAGTGTGAATGTAAACAGACCAGACCCCGCTCCGCAGGGTAAACAAACACGCATTTCTCGGACCTTATATGGAGCCGTCAGCTGCCTTGTGTGAAAAACAACACTCTCCATGGTCTTCTGTCTCATCTTCTGCTCATGCTGAGTCCATTTATGAAAAATGACAAAATATAACTGCTAAAACTGCTAAAACTTGATGCCACTTCGTTTTTATTTTTATTTACAGAAGAAGAAGTGTCTTCAGAGGTTTTTGTGTCGTTTCTTTCAGTAGTTCTAGGTGCAGCGCCCCCACAGGCGAGCGGGGGAACAGGTTGGTTCAACAGGTTGGCTCGACTGCACAGTGCAGTGTGAATGCAAACGCACCAGCTCAAATGTAAACAAAAGGTCATGAATATTGGTCCCGAACCGAACCGAGTCTACTGGACTATCTGGTGTGAAAACGACCTTAAAGTATGAGACATTTAGGTCGTTTTCACACCAGATAGTCTGGTAGACTTGGTTAGGGACCAATATTCATGACCTTTAGTTTACATTTGAGCTGGTGCGTTTGCATTCACACTGCACTGTGCAGTTGAGTCAACCTGTTGAACCAACCTATTCCCCCGCTCGCCTGAGGGGGCGCTGCACCAAGAACTACTGAAAGAAACAACACAAAAACCTCTGAAGACACGTCTTCTTCTTCTTCTGTAAATAAAAATAAAAACGAAGTGGCATCAAGTTCTAGCAGTTTTAAGAGTTATATTTTGTCATTTTTCAAAAATGGACTTAGCATGAGCAGAAGATGAGACAGAAGACCATGGAGAATATTGTTTTTCCACACAAGGCAGCTGACGGCTCCATATAAGGTCAGAGAAATGCGTGTTTGTTTGCCCTGCGGAGCGGGGTCTGGTCTGTTTACATTCCCACTGTACTCGAACCGCGCTGGAGTTCGCTTCTACCGGACGGAGACCTAGGTTTTAGCCCGGGCCAGAGTTCACCTTTTTGTTCCGTGACAGAGTTCGATGGCGCGTTCACACCTCCCTAAACGAACCGGACTTTCTAGGAAAACGAGCTAGAGTTCGATTAAAGCGGACTAAACAGGGCTGGTGTGAATGCACCCTTAATGTATGTATCAAAAGAAAATGTTTCATATAAAATGTACTTAAAGTAAAAGTGAATGGTTAGAATTTCCAAAACAACATTTATTGGGTGCAATATTCAGTGACAAAAACTTGGAAAGTTTGAACTGAACAATGAAAGACTGTTCTTTAAAAAGCCTGATTCTAATAAAGTATATTAATTCAACCTTTATTAACCTTTATCAACAAAGCTGTTAGAAAGGCCACATTGTTGTGTTTACTGAGCTAGGTCCTGTTTGGTTATGGTTAGTTTCTTTCTGAATTTAATAGTGCCTATGCGCTTGAATGCACCGCTCTGTGTAAAGTGATGAGCTCAGTTGGAGTTTTTTTTTTTCCTCTCCCAACACGGACGAAGCCTTGTTGTTCAAGCTCGTTTGTGCTTTACTGGTTTACTGCTGTGTAAATACCAGAAGAAACAGCAAATAATTCATCCTAAACTAGATCTCTGTCTCCGCGTTCTTTAATGGGAAGACTAGTGTCCCAACAACTTCCTACCTTGTTGTTTTTGTCTTAAACTTTTTTGAATTTACCATGTCCTGGATGACTGAGAATCTTCACCAGCCTACAGTGCAGTTGAACAGGCCAACATTAAAGCACAATTTGCAGTGACAGCTGTTTTTCCCAAATGTAACTGGAGATATCCACTGCACACTAGGGGTGTAAATGAAGCCTGAAGCTTAACAATCATGTAAACACGATTGTTAAATCATGTTTCTTCCAACTGAAGCGGCTGTCTAAACTGAAGCCTATATTGTCCAAAAAGAACCTGGAGACAGTAATACATGCATTCATTACATCTAGGCTTGATTACTGCAATTCGCTCCTGTTGCACGACTACAACTGGTCCAGAATGCAGCAGCCCGATTTTTAACCAGTACAGGCAAAAGAGAGCACATTACACCAGTTTTGGCCTCACTGCACTGGTTACCGGTTCACTTTCGAATCCAGTTCAAAATACTCATGTATGTCTACAAATCACTGAACAGTGTCGCCCCCCCCCCCCCCCCCATCTCTCTGATCTGCTACAACCATATGTCCCACCACGTTCCCTGAGGTCAGCAGACCAGTTGCTCCTCACAGTTCCAGGAACTCGTCTTAAGCGCAGAGGTGACAGGTCTTCTCTGTAGCAGGACCAAGACTCTGGAACGAGTTACCTCTGTCAGACTGGCCCCCTCCCTCTCGGTTTTCAAGTCCTGTTTAAAAACCCACTACTATTCAGTAGCTTTCAACACCAGATGATCTGTGTTTTGAACCTGTATGCTCCACACTGGTTAGTCGTCATTATCTGCATCGTTTTTTGTCTATATTCTGATTTACCTCATTTTGTATTTTGCTTTGTGTGTTACCTGTTGTTTTGTCTGTACAGCACTTTGGTTGGCCTTGTTGCTGTTTTAAGTGCTTTATAAATAAAGTGGTATGGTATGGTAAATCACCAGCTTTACCACAATACGATATTATATTGATTTGTTTGTATGACAATATGATTTTCCTCTATATCACAAAGTCTTTCACAATACGATTCAGATTCTTTTCAATTCACAAGTTTGCGATCAATATATTGCGATATCAAGGGCAGCACGGTGGCGCAACTGGTAGAGCTGCTGCCTCTCAGCGAGCAGGTCCTTGGTTCAAACCCCGGTCCAGGGGCCTTTCTGGGTGGAGTTTGCATGTTCTCTCCGTGCATGCGTGGGTTTTCTCCGGGTACTCCGGTTTCCTCCCACAGACCAAAAACATGCATGTTAGGCTGATTGGTAACTCTAAATTGTCCCTAGGTGTGAGTGAGAGAGTGAATGGTTGTTTGTCTCGTTTGTCTCTATGTGTCCCTGTGATGGACTTGCGACCCGTCCAGGGTGTACCCCGCCCCTCGCACAGTGATTGCTGGACATGGGCACCAGCGACCCCCGTGACCCAAAATGGAACAAACGGGTAAAGATAATGGATGGATGGATGGATGGATATTGCGATATCAAATGCCCATCTCATTTACATATAAATTAATTAACAAAAACAATTCAAATATGATTTAACTATTTATTTCTGTTATTACAGGCATCAGGCATTTAAATAAAAAACATTTTTCTTAATGGTAAATGGTAAATGGACTGCACTTATATAGCGCCTTTCTATCTTATTTCAAGATACTCAAAGCGCTTTACACTACAATCTGTGTCCTCATTTACTCATTCATACAGCACTCTACTAGATCACTACAAAGCTAATTGAACAAATCATTCTAAAGAGACTAATCAGAGCTTTATCACATTCATACACTGATGGGACACACATCAGAGGCTAGTGTCTTGCCCAGGGACACTTCAGCATGTGACCGCTGGTGGATTCGAACCCCCATCTCTCGTATTGGAAGACAACTGCTCTAACCGCTCAGCCACAGCAATTATTCAATGACAAAATAAAAATAATTGACCTGTTCAGTATAGTCTCACATTTCTCATGTTTAAGTGCATTTTTTAAACCAGTTAACTTAAAAGTGCCCTGATTACCTTTCAGTTATAAAGAAACAAAAATAGATATTGAGCTTACATAACATGGCTATCAATGCCGTGTTTCTTCTTCAAGTGAACGGCCAAATTTGTTGTTTCCCCTGAGTATTTTAACTCACACTGGCACCTGTTGCATACGGCATGAGTTTTGTCTGTTGAGCCATCCTTCTGTTGGAATCAAAAATATTTTCAGAGTGTTGATTTAAATCCATCTATCCATCCATTATCTTTACCCGCTTATTCCATTTTGGGTCACGGGGGTTGCTGGTGCCCATGTCCAGCAATCACTGTGCGAGGGGCGGGGTACACCCTGGACGGGTCGCAAGTCCATCACAGGGCCACATAGAGACAAACGAGAAACAACTATTCACTCTCTCACTCACACCTAGGGACAATTTAGAGTTACCAATCAGCCTAACATGCATGTTTTTGGTCTGTGGGAGGAAACCGGAGTACCCGGAGAAAACACACGCATGCACGGAGAGAACATGCAAACTCCACCCAGAAAGGCCCCTGGACTGGGATTTGAACCAAGGACCTGCTCGCTGAGAGGCAGCAGCTCTACCAGTTGCGCCACCGTGCTGCCCTGATTTAAATCCAGGAGAGTGAATTTCATTATCTTTGTTTTCTGCCACGTCTGCCATATTACTGAGGCGGGCGCAGAGCGCAGCCATGCACAGAAATGGTGACACAGACGTGCCTTGGGAATTTCAAAATAAAAACGTACTTTGAAGATGATTATATGAATCGATGTTTTAGTTTTGCCACAATATAATTGAATCATTAATCAATTAATCAATATATTGATTTAAATCGATGTATTGTTACACCCCTACTGCACACACATTGTTATAAAAGCACCCTCACACGATGAATTGGTTTACGTTAACAGGAAGCATTTTCATTCAATCAGTGTGCAAATTATATGTGATGAGCAAAAGCAACTAACCAACATTGTGGCGAGGTGACCTGGTTCAACGCATGATTCACTTGTTCTACTTGTTCTAATACACAGTATGGTTAAGAACAGATGTGGCTGGCACAGTGCAGGATGGGGGGGGCTTCTTGGTGACTAAATTAATTTAATCATCTCAATATTAAACCCCCCCTGATGCGCATAGAGCCTGTGCGCCCCCACATATCATCTTGCCTTCACCATATCATTACTAGTCAGTGGTTCAAGTGGGCAACTTCCTGTTTTGTGCTGATTAAACTATAGTTTCAGAGCATTCTACCAAGTCCAATTGTCTCTGTGTCAGTAGTATGCTAGTTGTGTCAGTAAACATGTGTAAAGTGTGAAATGCCTCAGCCTTTCTCCAGCACACTGCTGCGTTTATTTACAATAACAGTGTCATCCATGTACGTGGTGATGGGCAGTTGTCCTTTGCTTCTCATCCACCTTGATGCCTGACCATTTTTCTTAACTCCTGAGGGTGTGCACTGCTCTGACCTCACAGCATTTACACATACAGACACACACAGACACACACCTCACAGCATTCCTCTTTTCCCTGCATTTAGACATGCTTTTTGATAGTGTAGAGAAGATTTCAATTCAATTCAGTTTATTTATATAGCTCCGAGTCACAACAGAAGTCATCTCAGGGCACTGTAGAAAAACATTCAGATACATAAAAAAGCCATTTAGTACAAGTTATCTATCTAAGGAAGGAAGCAGCAGATGGCATTGAATCTTCACTTCATCACAGTCTCCCATCATCAGATTCCTCAGGTACAGGGCATAGTTAAATCTATTTGCATGTTTAAATGGAAGCAGATCAATGGAGGAGTTGGGTACACCCTCATGTGTGCTCAATTCCATGGTTATAGGGATGTACAAAGGAAGTATGCTTGGATTCATATGTACTCACAGTTTCATACCTCCAGATTTATTTGTGCATATGCTGTTTTCTTGATTTAAACATACACTATGTTTCTGTTGGAAACCCACGCAAGTCTTTGTACATTAGGCCCCTGGAGACCTACTAATAAAATAAGTCTTTCATTCCTGCTTCAAAATTAACTATAAAACTGTGACGTATACTTGCACATAAGATGTTTTGTCAGTTGTTGCTGTGCCTAAATATAAATCAGAAGTCTATCAAAACTGAGCACCAACTCCATTGTCCTTGAAAGTGAACACAATTAAAACAGTCTTAGGACCACATTTCAGTCCTAATTTCATACCCATTTTTACCTTCGGACAACAAAAACAATAAAAAAATTGAGTGTGACAGCAGCTTTAGAGATTCAGGCATTTTATATTGGTAAACACAAAGAATTTGCGAGAAGCAAACAGTCAAAACTCCGAGCACCCTACTTACCACATAACTTCTCCATTCAGACTATAAACTGACATGTCAGTCATGTTTATTTAATTTAAGAAACTAATCACACAAATACATCATCAATAAGAATTATTGGAAGCCACGGCAAAAGCAGATTTATGCATGTCACCTGAAAGACGATGGCTGGCAGTGTGGTCTGGTAATATCCATCTTGATCCGCCTCAGGCTCCGTTTCTTTCTGCCAGTCCTTTTTATCAGTGTCCAGAGCTTTTCGCAGCCAGCCAGTTATATTAGACTGAAAACATCCAAATGGTATAAAAATGAAAACTTGACATGCCACTACCTTACTTACGAGCATCTTCACCTCACATTTTGTGAAGTTTCTTTTTGCCCTACGCAGATGAGATTTTTGATTGTGCTGAGAGGAAACCTTAAAATTCAAAGATAGAGGACTTTTAATGACTCTATAATCTTTTTAGTATTATGCTTATTTAAATGCAATTTAAATCAATCTAACAACATAGGGGCATGGTCCTAATGCAGTGTTTCCCCTATCCTTATCCAAGCTGGGCACCACGCCCCGTCAACAGAACCGAGCGCCACACCTACCGAACCAAACTGCGCTCACTCCCCCACCACCCGTCAGCACTGACATAGTGCTAAGCTAGCAGCGCATAATACAGGCATGCAAGCTAAAACGTTAAAGGCAGAACTCACCTGCCTCTTACTTCATGCTGAACCCTCACGCTCGATTCAGAATCGACAGGACTAAGAATCTAGATTCTTCAATAAATCCATTGTTTTCTGCACCCCTACTTCAAACAGCCAAATTTTGTGGTCAACACTGCTGGGCCAAGCTTGTAGCTTCTCCAAGGTCAATTCCTTCTTGTCAGCCAGTTTCAGGAGCCGCAAGTGGCCTGCGATTCTCAGAAATCACATCCAGCTTATGGATGGAGCAAAAGAGGTGTTTTATTGAATGTAGGTCAGACAAGTCTGAAGGCCACACAATGGCATCAATTACTTAATCGTCCAGCAACTGTCTGCATGCTCTCATCATGAGACTGGGCATTGTCAAGCTCACTGAGAAACCAGGATCCACTGGTCTGACAACAGGTCCAGTATCTGACACGGTTGAGTCAGGTCCTCTGGACAAATTTTTCTTTGTTGAAAGGTTCGTCTTTTATACAAAAAACTTAAGTCTGAGGAGCTGCAAAAAACTCAGTCTTATAAGCAGCACGCTCAGAAGTTGGACTGCATGGACAGTCTCCAGGGTTTAGGTTCAGCTTTATGCTACCATTAGTGATAAAGACCAAAGCCAAATGCAAAACAAGGTGAAAAAAAAATTAGAAAACTATGACAGTAGCCTCTCCACCTATAAAACCATGAGTGGTCTGGGGTTGTCTCATTTTTGTACCTCTAGTGCACCTGTTAATTTAATACACACGCACACAGTCACCTAAAACAGAACCAGAGCCAGCCTAAGTATAAGGTAAATATGCAGCAGCAAAGGCCAGATCCAGGCCAACACTTTTTAGTTCTATTTCGTATAGGCTTCACCCTTTAAGGCTGTCGCTGGTGGGTTTCATCCCGTCACGTAAAGCGTAGCACTGAAAACTTTAGTCCACGCCCACCTGTTGTGTGGGCCTCACCTGGTCTGTACAAATTACATTGAGAGCGGGTAATCGGCTCCCATTTTTCTTCAGCAAGCAACCAGCACTGATTTTCAAAACAAGAACGCGATGTCCAGCACCAGCACCATCCGCCTGTGCCCGTCCTGCAAGACCGGCTAAATGCTGAGCTTCGACCAGCACGACATCTGTGAAGGATGCCTGGGTCCCCGCTACGCCGACCTCACCTCCTCCTGCCATCTCTGTGACCTCCTCCTTCCTGAGGAGAGGCAGAAGCTAACAGCGATGTTAGCTGAGGCTAACATCGAGGAGTGCCTCTCCGTGTCGGGGGACTGTTCGCTGGACAACGCCATCGCCTTTTTTGATGCCGAGTCACGGAGCGAATCGGATGATTCCTCCAGGAAAGGCGACGGCAGCAGCAGCCCCGTTTCTCATTCCCTCCTGGAGACCTGGAGAGTGTAGTGTTGGAACAGGGGGGCCGAGCGGATGCTCACCCCCCCACCCCCCCCCGGGCCTTCCCGCATCAGCGAACACACCGCTGCCAGCTGTCGGTGCCCTCCTCTTGGAGCTGCCCGACATAATCCAGGAGGCGGCTGACATGAAGGGACTTTCCGTCCCTCTCCTCCCCCCGCCCAGATCAGATGATCTAGCGGGAAGGTTTGGCTTCACCCCGGCTCGCCGCCCTGACCCCATCTAGCCTCGTTTCCCAGCAGTGACGTCCTACTGGAACGAAGCTGCAGCTGGACCTGGTAGGCTGAAGGCACCCGTCTCCACCTTTGCTCCCATCACTAGAGTGGAGGGGTTTACTGAGCAGAATTTTCCCTCGGTACCCCCCTGGAGCCAAGCCTGGCGGAAGCACTCGGGGCAAAAGTGTCCAAGTTGGACCAGCGTCCTGTCCCTCCAGGGAGACATGACCAGAAGGTGATGTCGCTCTCCAACCAAGCCCACCAGTGTACTTTCCAGGCGGCCGCAGCGAACAACAATGTCGCCCTGCTGGCCTACAGCATCTCCAAATGGCTGGAGGTATGATATAGACCTGCCTGAGGAGATGAGGAGCTCGCTCTGCAAAGCGTCTGACATCATCCTCAACCTGTGCGCCTCCTTTGCTGTCTGCCTGTCTCGCATTGCCGCCTGGATGACAATGATCCAGAGGTCCACCTGGCTCTGACACTCCCCCTCCTTGCCGGAGAAACTGCAGAAAGACCTGCTGGAGGGCCCCATCACGACAGATGCGCTGTTTGGGGCCAATTTCTAGGATATGCTTGAAAAATCAAAGAAGTCGGAGGAGGTGTCGGAGACTGTGCGTCACCTGATGAAGCCGCACCCCTCCTTTTGCCCCCCCCTGCTGGAAAGATCGTCGTGGCCAGAGGCAGTAGCAGAGACGCTCCACAGCTGCAGCAGTGTCCTCCCACCCCGCTCCGCCGCCAGCCCCTCCTGCCAGAGAACAGTCCTTCTCATCGCGGCAACCAGCGGCTCAACGTTTCCCCAGAGACTGCCAACAGGCGGCGCCCTGGAACAACCAGTCGCAGGGCTCACGGGGGAGAAGATATAAGAAATGACTCCTTGCGGAGGATGTGTGTGTGTGTGTGTAATGATGATACAAGTTTTAAAATAAAACAAAAACATCATTCAGAGAATAAAGTGTCTGATTCCAACCTGACTGTCAGATCAAATGATCTCACAGCAGCTTCTTTTCACACATCCTCCACACAAAACGAGCCGGTAACCTCAAAACGGGTTTTTAAAAGTCACGGCAGCTTGAGAAACCACACAAAATGCTCGCTTGACACAGCAGCTAAAAATGATTCTTCTCAGCAGGCCGAGTCCAAAAGAAAACCTCGCTTTCAGCCCAGGTTGTGTTCTGATTTTTCTGACCGCAGAGGGAACAAACGCGTTTCCCCATGACAGCTGCAGTCTCCACCCAAACGGCGCCGCATTTCTAAAGGCGCTCACTCCTCTCCTCGGTGCGCGTCAGCTCACATCAACTCTGATGTGAGCCCGCAGCCTGAGCGCAGCACAGAGGCGCTCCCAGAGCCCTTTCGGCGAGGCCCCCACATGAGTCGCTCGGAGAGCTTCTCCAGAGCATATGACGGCGGTGGGGGCTTTGACTTGGCTGATGTCCGTAAAAGACATGACACAACACAAAAACATGTGCCCGCTCCCAGAGCGTTACGCAGAGTAAATGGTAAATGAACTGTACTTATATAGCGCTTTTCTATCTTATTTCAAGACACTCAAAGCACTTTACACTACAATCTGTGTCCTCATTTACCCATTCACACAGCATTCTACTAGTTTTCTACAAAGCTAATTGAACAAATCATTCTAATGAGACTAATCAGTGCTTTAGATCACATTCATACACTGATGGGACACACATCAGAGGCTATGAAGGGTTCAGTGTCTTGCCCAGGGACACTTCAGCATGTGACTGCTGGTGGATTCGAACCCCCAACTCTTGCATTGGAGGACGACTGCTCTAACCACTCAGCCACAGCCGCCCCCTAGAGAGTGGCAGCAAGTGTGCCCCCTGGACAGATAGATGGACCGTCTGATCAGCAGAGGTTACACGCTGCAGTTCGCAGCTCAACCCCCACCATTCAGAGGGATTATAGAGACGGTTCTGTCATCTCCAGAACAGATCTCGTCTCTCCACGCAGAAGTTCAGGAATTATTGATAAAAAATGTAATTTCCAAGGTTCCCAATGGAGAGGAAAACACAGGGTTTTACTCACGTTACTTCCTGGTTCTGAAAAGGACCGGAGGAATGAGACCCATTTTGGACTTATCCATATTCAAAAAGTCGATCATGGTGAGACAGTTCCACATGCTGACAACCAGACAGCTGTTGGACAACATTCACCAGAATGACTGGTTTTCCTCCATAGATCTAAAATACGCTTATTTTCACATTCCAATCATTCCAAAACACAGAAAGTTCCTGCGCTTCTCCTTTCAAGGGACCCAGTACCAGTACAACAGGCTCCCGTTCGGCTACTCCCTCGCACCACGTACGTTTTCGAAATGCGTGGAGACGGTTCTGCAGCCTCTACACAGAGCAGGGATGAGAATTCTGTTATATCTGGACGATCTGCTGCTGCTGACCCGATCCAGGCAGAAAGTAGCTGCGCAAACCAAAGCGAAGACGTCACACCTGTTAAACCTGGGTTTTGCCATAAACTGGGAGAAGGTTCGGTTCTCCCGGCCCAGATGATCGTTTACCTGGGAGTGGAGCTAAACTCGGTCACTATGAGGGCCCGTTTATCACAGACGAGAGCCGAAGTTCTAAAGGACCAGCTCCGCCGTGTAAAACCTGGCAGAGTAGTAACAGTCGTCTCCATCATGAAACTGCTGGGAACGATGTCGTCAGCTCACGCTGTGGTTCCGCTGGGCTTACTCCACATGAGACGTCTTCAGAGGTGGTTCGCTCTCCTGCATATAGATCAGGTACGTCAGAAGAGGCGGATGATCTCTGTGCCCCCCTCCGTGGGAACCGACCTGAAGCACTGGGGAAAACCTCTCACTCTGTCGGAGGGAGTTCCTATCAGCAGACCCAGGTCACACATTTCAGTTTTCACAGACGCGTCCTTGTCAGGCTGGGGAGGAACATGCCTGTCTCGGGCGGTGGGGGCACTGTGGCCACCTCACACATCAGCTCATATAAACGTTTTGGAATGTCTTACGGTTTTGAATGTGCTTCAGCATTTTGCTCCCGTTACGGAATCAACATGTTCTGATCCACACAGACAACAAAGTGACTGCAGCTTACATAAACCAGCAGGGGGGCGTGTGCTCAGCCCAACTGTTGCGCATTGCGAGTGTAGTGGACTAGGCCCATGTCAAAAACTAAGTCTAAGGTCAAAAA